GGTAGTAGGCTTTCGAGCCTATACAGCTTGGAGTAAGACAACATGCATGAAGAGGATGATGTGGACAAAATACTCATTTGCCTAATAATTCTGCACTCCTTGTATTGCTGCTGTTAAGCAGCAATAGGTTACATCAGTCATTTTCTATAAAAGTAGTCTTTTTTTATATGATGATCACTTTAATATTTTTTTAAACATGCTTGATCTAGTTCTGTTTTATTTGTTCAAACAACAACACCGCGATATTGGTATTATACAATTTTAAAAATATCTGTAAACCAAGAAGTAACCTCAACTGAAGCGTCAGCTCTGACTTCGAAATACCAGCTAAAAATCATTCATTGACATTGAATCTAGGCTTTCTCCTCCTCGACCTACTCGTCATTACAGCTGCCGTGTCAGCTAATTCGATTAGGAGCAAGCCTTACGTGTTTTAGGTGTCAGATTCACTTTACATGATTACTTTGGAAGCATATTCGTCTCAGCTATATAAAACGTGAAGGGGATTAGTATCTCAGTTTTCCAAATTCAGTTAGCTGACAACGTAAAACATATTTTAACAACACATACATACATACACAAGCTCGGCTCACTTATTAGCCAACTTACTAATCAGAGTTAAGCTTTCATGCAAATCCACTTACATGCTCGCATTATAAACGGGTGCGTATAACAAATCAGTGTTGCCATTCAATTTAGATAATGAATTAAAGAAACAAAAATGATCATACCTGGGGAAGCCACAGTACAAGACATTGGAATTGCGTTAACCCCGCTGCTACTTCCTGTTGATGTTTGGCAGCTAATATTAGCTAAAGGCTAACATTAGTCCTCATAAAGCACCCACAAACAGGCTCTAATAAAGATCCGTTCCTCGTTAAAATAGAAGATAATCTCTGCTGATATGAAAATATCGATTTTAACGCGTTTCAAGTTTGCTGTGAACCCAGTTGTGAGATGATAAAAGTAAGTAACCCAACCTATGACAACCAAGGTTCCCAAAATACCGAATATACCGCGAGATGTTTTATGTTCTCGCGACAGTTACGTCAGAAACAGACAATATGGCGGACCGGCTAACACAACTTCAAGACGCAGTCAATTCGGTAAGGCAAATGTTGAATATTTTAAACATTCTTTGGTAGAAGGAGGTGTTAAAAATATAAAATGCATCGTTATGTCGTTTAGAGTTGGTAGCTAACGCAAACCAGTGGCCCGAGTAGTTTAGTAACGTGTCAACAACACGGGGTAGCTAACCATTATAGCAATTATAGCTAAAGGCCTGTGTTACTAAACGACCAAACCAGCTAAGTTATTTTAAACAATGAAGTGTTACAGTGTTAAAACGTCGTTTTGAGTAGCTTCATTGAACAAAATGATACAAAATAAATATATTTGGAAAGAAAACAGTGTTACTACAATACTGTGCAAAGGTAATTTCTTTATATTTGGCTTGCAAGGGACCAAATTTGCTTATTTTTTTTTCAGTGGTCTTGAACAGATGTTGAACTTATAGGAATTACGAATGGAGAAAAGTAGGTCAGATTTTGATCCTTCATGTTGTACCAGCTTGCTAGAATACTGCAAAATCTGTTTTTGCCTTACATACTGTAATTCCACGTGTTTTCTCCCGTTTCAACTATTTTCAACTCCCGCTGCAACTATTTGCCATTTTCCAAAACAAACAAACAAACAAAATAATAATAATAATTTAAGGGTGGTTCTAGACCAGGGATGTCAAACATCCTTTTACTAGGTGGCCTACATACAACACACTTTGGGCCGATCAGTGACACTCCCCTTTCTGTCACTCTCAGTCAGAACTTTAACTATACATTTAATCCCTGAGATATTGTAATATAAGAAAAAGATGTTGGTTTTAAAAGTCCTTCTTAGTTTTTCTGCACAATAAAGAAAAATTTGTCAGTGTGACTCGTTGGGCTTAAATTGTAGGAAATAAATGTGCAAAAATAACAGAAAACGTTCTTTTGGCTTGTTGTGTAGACTGTCCTGTAATAATATATTTTGTAATGTGAACCCATTGTAAAAAGCATAGATTTCTATAGTAGATGGTTTAAAAAATGAACTTTCTCTCATTTAATTATTTGGGGGACGTTTTATCTTCAGGAGAAGCTGTAAAACTTATGAAAATACATTTAAAAATCCAAAACTTAAGCACGCCTTCACATTTTCACAGTGGGTAAAATTGGATTATGGCCTCCTTATGGTTGACACTGGTAAACTAAATACCTATATTTTATAATTTAAAAAAAAAAAACATACCTTGATAAAACTGGTAAAAGAAACCTCTTTAAATTTCTTTTGCCTGAAGTTTATGTTCTCATCAGCAGCTATTGTCTTGTTTAAACGACAGCGTAACCTATTACTGGTTTTGTTTTGTGTGTCCAGCTTGCGGATCAGTTTTGTAATGCTATCGGCGTCCTGCAACAGTGTGCACCTCCTGCATCTTTCAGTAACATCCAGACAGCTATCAACAAGGATCAGCCAGCAAACCCAACAGAAGGTTTGTGTGTTTTTTACTATGACATTAATTTTAACCATAGTTTTTATATCAGTTGATATTATTTATTTGTCTCTCTATTGATATCTGCTTTTTAAAAGCTACTAAATATAAAAAAATAAGAATTCAAGAGGAGATGAGAGAAACACTCATCAATGACGTTGCATAGCTTCTCCACCAGAGGTCACTGTGCAACTTCCCTATGGACAACATGTGTTTGTTGCCCATGCAATCAGAAACAGATTGCATGTAATTGCCAACTTGACCTATTGAACCTCAGACTGATATCAGTCAGAATGACTCTTATTTTATAGTAACATTTGTGGCAGGTTTTAATAACAGTGATGGGGGATGCTTGACAATCTCATTTTGCAGTGAGATTACTTTATCTCATTGGATAAAACAGATACTGATAAAGTTCAACTTTTAGGACATAAATTGTAGTATATGTTATTGCAATATTTAGCATATCATATAATGTTGAAAATGACAGTAATATATTGTAAAAATGTGGTATCAAAGGGTCTCTGGTGATTTCCAGCCCAGTATATAGCTGTGTGTTGGTACATGTTATAGCTGTGTGCTGTCACCAGAGGGCAGTATAACAATTATGCGGAACAGTCTGTGAGCTAGACTTGTTTGCATTTGTTCAGTTTCTCCTTCAACTTCGACCCTGATACAGAAAAGATATGTCATAATATAAAAATAACTTCTTTGCAGTGAAATGAAACGCGGTATTGAAAATTGTCTACGTATCCACTGTCTGTGTTTCTCATGCTGCTTTTTTTAATTGTTGATTATTTTTGCCACTGTTTCCTCTTTGTGGTGAACTCCTCTGTTACTCCCTTTCCTGTTAAAGTGAACTCGTCAGCAAATTAGTTTCCAGTATTATCACTGTCAGCCAGTGCTACATGTGCTGTTGATCTCTTGGTGCACTGCACACAAGCATGTCTGTAGAGGTTGCATACCCAGAATCATCAGGCTACACTAGGGCTGCCACAAACGATTATTTTGATAGTCGACTAGTCACCGATTATTTTTGCGATTAGTTGACTAATCAGATCATGCATCCATTGGACGTAAAACTTACAGCTTATTGCACCAGCATGCATCTGCTCTTATATAACTATCATTAGCTTACAGCTTTAAGTGTGTAAGGTATGTGCTAACTAAAAATAAAGACAAGATGATAGTTTATTACATTTTAATGAAATTTGCAGATTGTTTTGGTGAAGTTTAATAAACTCAGCCGTCTGCTCCTTGCTATCTAAAATATAACAGGACACCTGAGTATATTCTCGAGGATCTCACACTTCTGATAATCAGTTATCTTCTTGACGTTTCTTCAGCTTTGTAAAAACTATAACTTTAATTGCAGCCAAACCGATTTACTCAGGGCGCATTTGTCGGCCGCATTTGTCAGAGTCTTCGAATTCGGACAGTCTTCGTCGTGTCACTGTAACGTAATCGGCCTACAAATGGGGGCACAGTAGGATGCAGTTCCTGAATTTGGACGCTACGATACCGGACGCTGCTTCTTCTTCTTCGGGGTTTAACGGCAGCTGGTATCCTTGTACATGCAGTGCTGCCATCTTCTGTTTCAGTCTGTTATTACACTCTTAAATCCTACTACTTATTCCCGCGTCTTTTGGGATCTTACAAAGCTTCAAACAACACGTCGACTATTAAATTAGTTGTCGACGATTTTGATAGTCGACGTAATCGTGACTAGTCGACTAATCGTGGCAGCCCTAGGCTACACGGACAAAATCTTATGCAAACTGACATATGCAGTACAGACTGGCTTACATAATGTGGAACAGCTTGTTGGCTTGAAAAAATTTGTCTGAAACAGGAATGAAAATGTCCACATTGGTGCTTTGTACAGTACTCCCCCCTGATCATACAACACCGGGTCTCCATCACTACACCTACATATCATTCATGATGAGTGTCTCTCTACAACTCAAATGATTTAGTTTCACCACTTCTTTACATTTTACTCAATATTTAGTGACATTTTATCTTTTCACTCTGAATATTATGGTACATAATGATTTTTCTCTTATAAAAAAAGGGGGGGAGGGGGTACTTTCTGTGGCTCAACAGCATGTAGAGTGTGTGTTTGTGTTCTGTTATTTTTATATATATAAAAATAAATGAATGATATGCAGGATGTTTCACCTGTGTTTTGTTTTTCTTGATCTCTGTTTAGAGTATGCCCAGCTGTTTGCAGCCCTTATAGCCCGAACAGCCAAAGATGTGGATGTACTCATAGACTCGTTGCCTAGTGAGGAGTCCACAGCAGCTCTGCAGGTCAGCACATTCATAAGTATCACCGACTATTTCACATGTGTATATATGTATTTCAATGTATTAATTCTATTTTCCCAGACATAAAAAAAAAAACTAATTCAAGTAGAGGAGCACTGTTAGTATGTCTAGCTATCAGTCAGCAGAGGGAAGTGTGTTTTGTGTGTAAGCAAACTGTTTATAGTCTATAGTGAAATATGTTAAAGACAACAACAGTCATTCTTGTGTTGATCTCTCTCCCGTAAATAGAAAGATACATGACATCAAGTGTCACTTTCCTGTGCACTGCTTTCTGCTATTAGATTAGACTAGAATAGATTAAAGAACAGAAAATTGAGAATAGGATGTTTCCCAGCAAGCATATCTTAGTGCAATACACAGTACTCCCAGTGAGCATTTGTAACACAAATATCTTTGAATGACATTAGTGGTACTTGGAAAACTTGCTAACTTTTTGATCTGTTTCCAGAGACTTTTATCAGTAGACAAAAAAGCAAAAACATCTCTTTTAATATTATATGGCCTTCACTCAAGAGAGGAACGATAAACACCACGGCTGGAGTGTTCCGATAACGAGATTATTTTGAGGAACATCCATTAAGTAAATGGTAAAGCTCACTTAAACCAGTTAAAACTGCCAAATTGGTAATGTTTGGGAAACTTAGACTCTGAGTACACAGGGAAGGGGGGAGTTTCCCTGCATAGAGGAAGTTTTAGTCTGAGCCAAAGGAAAATCACCAGCATTGTTGTTAAATGATTTCTCTAAAAGATTCATGGATCTTGGCAGTATGCACATTTTTGCTGATGACGTGACTAATAATTGTATATATTGCTGGAAAATTAGGTATTTAAGAAACAAAAAACAAACTTTCATTGCTTTTAAACTGCATGGACCAATCATGCTTAATGTCATTACAAGCTCCAAATGCCTTTTCTGAGCCGAGTAGGTGCTGCTCTTTCTCAAACAAGTATGATATTTATCTCTAGGTAATGTTATAAGAAAGTAAGCCATCCTTACAGCTCATGTCAGCTCATGTCATTTCTAGCTTTTTATAAGTCGGAGCAGTAGTCGTCAGTCTTTCTGAAAAACAGCCGAGCAATATTGTATAATCAGTGGTGTTGGTTCTTTGTGCAAGGATACTTCTATCTTCATGCGGACCACAGGGCAGCATTTTTTTTAGATATTAGTGCTGTCAGATGTCAGTGGAATTTTGTGAATGAGACTTGCACAGCCCAGAAGTTCTAGTTTCCCTGTAGCTCTCTGAGGGCCGACAATACACGCAACTGGTTTTAGATATAAAGTAAAAAGACATCTGTCATACAAAGCTGTTAGAAATGATCAGCTGTAAGACCACGTCTCAGGAGACTTTCTGCACACATTGTGAATCATGCATGGAATCTCGTCACAGTCTGATGGCAGCTTTTGAACCGTGAAACAAAACTTGTACAAAGTGGTTCTCATCAACTATTTAAAAGTTGCTCACACACACCACCTGCACTGTGTGGGGATATTGGGTGTACCAGGTGGGAATTCTTTTATTATTCAGTCAGTTATTGTGAGATCTGATGCTCCCAAGTTATACACAATTAAAGGAAACCTTCACTCAGTTGTTATCAGTTATTTGACGCTCCACAAAAGGGAAAATAAAAACACCAAAGCTGTTTTCATTAAATCTGACTGACTGTGACCTCTCATCAGGCGGCCAGTCTGCGGCAGCTGGAGGAGGAGAACCATGAGGCAGCAGCTCGGCTAGAAGAGGTGGTTTACCGCGGCGATATGCTCCTGGAGAAGATCCAGAGTGCACTGGCTGACATTGCCCAATCTCAGCTCCGCACCCGCAACGGGGCACCCAGCCAGCCATCACCGGCTGAATCCTGACCCGAGGAATGCATAATATGATTCTGGACAATTTTCAGTCTTTTCAGCTATTTTTATTTTCTTTGCCTTCAGCCACAATAGGCCATCGTTGAAACTGCCAAACATGGTGTGTGTTCACATGTCAAATGTGTGAACATGTAGATGCTGAAGCGGTTCTGTGTGGATGAGGTCATCTTTATGTTTTTTGTTTGTTTTCTGCAGCTCAGCTAAAGAAGGATGAAGGATGGTGTCTTTACATGCACACGGATCTTCTTCCTGAAATTTTTATTTTAAAAAACAAAAAAAACTTCTCTGTGGGCCTGAGGAGACCAATCTGACAGGTGTTATGTGATTTATGTACACTATATGTTATATATTTATGTCAGATTTTGTAGATATTGATAGCTCATCTCTCTGAGGTATTTTCTTTTTTAAATAAACCGTGGACAGCCAAATAAGTGTTAATAATATCCCTTTTTTTATATAATTTGCAAACTGTTACCACAAGCGTTTTGTACACGAACCATGTGGGTGATGTTAATTGTTGGAGTTTGTTTGTGGCATTGCATCAGTTTCATTTTTTTCATTGGAACTGATACACTAGCAGAAACTGAAACAATTACAATTAAAGAATGACCACATTTCAGTTCATGTGACCTTTAAAGGAAATTCTGATGGACACAGCTTTGAGGAACTAAGCTGTGGCTCTTGTCTATTTCATAATGTGTTTTGACAAAAACAATAGTGAAAGGAAAAAAAAATTTAAAGGAGGGGAAAAAACCAACTCCATAATCTGGTTCTATCGACGGTTTGAAACGTTTCCGTAAAAGGCATGAAAATTTCACATTACAGAAAGTTATGTACATGCGTGTGTTCTGTTCTAACTCCTAGTCAGTCTGATACATCATATTTAAAAAAAACCTAAAGAGCAAAAATCACCTTTGTCACATTTGCAACTAAAATATTTTCACAAGTCATGCAGTGCAATCTTGATTTTTGCGAAACAAATGCTTTCATATTGGCTGAATCCATTTCAGACTGAACTTTGTGAAACCCAGGCTGCAGGCCAGAGACTTTATAGCCCAAATCTAAATATAGGTGCTGTGTCACAGCTCAGTGGGCCCCATTGATGTGAGAAATATAAAAACAGCCTTGTCTGCTGGCCACCACACCCAGACGTGTTAGCGGGACCCACCCGCCTGTCTGCATGTTGACATCATGGTCCTAACAGTAAAAGCACTTAACCCGCCCGAATGAGGAGATTTATGACAGCAAATCTTCACCTGCCCTGGTTTGGTCAACAAAACTTTGTCTGTGCTCAAATTTTGTTATCTGCGTTTTCATTCACATGTGATTAGTGTAGCTTCTCCCTTTAATGTTCTTTGTTTATCCCAAAGGTCTATAGGACAATCTACAAGGAAATGAAAGAGTCCAGATAGGATGAAGACATTTCTAAGCACCACTGATGGGATTATTAAGGAAACAAGTCCGTTCCTTTTTGAAGGGCTCTACTGTAACAATGTTGGAATGCGGACACATTTATTTCGGTTTCTAGTTTAAACAATGAGCACTTTTTAAAGGATTTGTAGGCAGACAAGCTGTTATCATCTCAAACTGCTATGGCAAAGGTCTCAGATTGTGCCTTAATAGAAAGTGCTATAAATGTGGACTGTGTGACTTTTATCTTATCATACTTTATTACGTTCTATCTGGTTTATTGCCACTAGATAAACGCTGTCCAATAAAATATCCGTGTGGTTTCGATTAGTTCTACTTATATTTTGAATAGCAGTAACATTTCAGTATAACTAACTCCTGCAGCTTTTTCATTTAGTCAACGATTAGAAACCTGATGCTTGTGTATTGATCACCAATGTGACCTTTTATTGGCCTTACATACCCTCTCATTGATACGGTATTTCATAATTATGTGTGAAGAACATTTTACAATAAAATACCATTTAATCCTTGCAAATTATCAGAATAATAAAAGCTATTTTAGTAAGAATTTGCGCTAAGCACAACCAATAAAATTATGTACCAAAGCCTCCAACCGCTGGAAATTCTTTCATCGCTGCAAACGCTTGCTAGCTGGACCCGTCCCCGACTCTTGCAGGGCGGCTTGGATGCTTTTATTGGCCAATCTATCACCCTTATGTAGAGGTCACGTTTTATTGGGCAGAAGAAAACACGGATTCTTTTAGTCATCGCTGATTGGTCGGCGTTAGCGTCATTCAGGCGCTACGCCGTTGCGTTGTCGGAACGTCTGACGAGCCCGACGGTCTCAGGAAGCAGCGGAGCTTATTTCATATTTTGTAGCCATAAAGGACCGAAGGGAACAGTGTGTTTTTGGGGGGTCGGTTGCCACATGTACAGACAGTAAAATATTTTCAAATTATTTCGGCGTGGGGTATTTTTGCCTTCAGAGGTCTTTTGTTATGATTTGGGGTCAATAGCGGTGATGTTTACTGTGCAGCCTCTAAGGTTCCTCTAAGGGGTAGCCTATAACCAGAGCCTCTAGCTTCCAACTGCCTAAAAAATTAGGCAGAAACGATATAAGACATTTCATTTCTTCATTTGGGTCGTGGCCTGGCGGCACGCCAATAATTGACTCTGGAGCAGGACACGGAGGTAAGTGAAAAAGATTTATTTAAAAAAATGCTGTTCATTTTTTATCCTGTCCGAATTGAATTTATTAATATATTTGAACCTGCCACACAGACACGCAAAGGGAATGTAGCAAATAGGTAGCTCGCACAGTATAGCGTCAAACAAGCTAACTACAAGAAAGAAGCGGTGAATATTCTCCCTAGTGTGAGGCATGCAGCAGTGGCGGACCTATGGTAGCTGAGGTCCGACAGGGTGGCGTCAGTGTAGGTGAGCCGGGAAACATTAGCTAAGGCAAACATGTGCATGTGTACATACCGGTAACTGGTCAATCGCCACATATAAAGGGTGAAAAGCTTAACAGCTGTGCCTTAAAAAATTGCCATTTTTTTGCCATATATTTTGTTCACTTCTAATATGAACTGACTGCTCTCTCTGGTGGATTGGATTTCAGAATGTATTTGAGATAAATGTCCTTTTGTTAAGTTGTTAATATACTTCAAGTTCCTGTTGCCAGGAATCATTTATTGAGTTTTTAACACACACTTGGCTGTTTAGCTTAAAATAAACTAACTGTTCAGGGGAACATATGCTTTCACAGTTTCTCTGTGCGTAAGCACACATTTGTGTGTTGATTCATGACTGAGTCCTTTCATTCAGGAGGGAAAGGGTTTCCTGTCCACTCACTCCGAGTGCGTTAAGGGTGGAGTGTGTGAAACTGAAGAATTTTTCACACAAAACTGAGAAATCAGTGGTTAACGGGTACACTGAGCTACATCTGTCCTGATTCTTCTTTCTATTCAAAGTAAAGTATTTCTCCAGAAACACCTGCAGCAGGCTGGATTTTAAAGTTCAGTGGTGCATCTGGGGTTATAGCTTGCCTGCTTGTATGACACTGACTTCTTCTCGTGCAGATAATCTCAAACTGATCCACAGATCTCAGAATTCCATTGAGAAATCATTTCTTACTAACTAAAAATCATTCATGTTGTTCTGTTGGAGGTTTTTAGTACTTGAAAGTGTGGTCAAACAATCTGGCAGCTGCCAGTAACACTTTATTTTAAGTGTAAGAAGCTATGTATATATTATGTATTACTTGATTTGTGTAAAATGAATAGATGTTGCCATTGCTGGTGACCCAAGAACAGCCTGTGAACTGGAGCCACTGGTGTATTTCAGTTCTAGTGGGCTGTTTTAGGCTGCATTCTTAAGTTTCTAAATAGCAAGCCCGAGTTGGTAATGCCTTCCTTATAAGTGCCTGAGTTGCGCAGCCGTGTTTGTTTAGCTGTGGGGTGGATCTGGTTATCTTCAAGCCAACTGAATCCCCTTTAGGCAGAGCTAAGGCCTGGCTGGCTCAGTTATGATGTAGCAATTTAAATGATGCCTCTTTTTCCACCTTGTTTGGAAAACCAGGAAAAAAAAAAAACTCCATGAGGGGAAATTCTGAGTCTCTTTTCACATATTACGAAAAGCACATCATTCTACTCATTTCCTTTCTTTGTGGATAATCCAGGTTATCCAGTTTAGGTTGTGAACATTTCTTCTTCTAAGATGGATAAAAAATAACAGCGCAATCAAACTAAATGAAAGAACTGAATATACTATTTGACTGTCATCAAGATAATTTAAACCTAACACCATGTTATCCTGGATTAGTTCTGCTCTATTCCAATAGCATGCAGGCTCTAACTAATATTGGTGCTTTTTCTGTCAGCACACTAGTCATGAAACCATGATATTCCCAGCCAAGAACAAATTGAGAATGCACAATCTTTATTTTAAGCATAATAATAATAATAATGATAATAATAATAATAATAATAATAATAATAATTATT